AGAGTAAAAGTGAAAAGCGAAAGTAATCCAGAGAAACAGCAGATCCGCAGCCATTTTCTCTCACTTTAAATCCTCAGTAAATAAAGAAGATGTTGATAATTTTCAAAGTTAAAGTCCCAATAAATCCATTACAATTCCAGCCTCCTGTTCAGTTCTGTCTGCTTATAATTTTAAATCAAATACCTTCAATCGCAGAGGTAGGAGCTGCATCTGGCTTCGCTCCACAAGCAAGGAGCGAAGGCGTCTCGGGGCGCGGAGAGTGTCCAGACTCCGGGCGAGCTAGCATCTTTCACCCCGGATTAAGGCAAAACCGGGGCGAAAGGAAGCTCTAACCCTATCCGGACTCACTCACCTCTCCCTCTTTGCCCGAGGGACGAGGTTCCTAGCCGAGAGACAGCTGACAGACGCTGTCTCTTCAGGCTTTGACGCGCTCCCGGACGGGCGGCTAAAAAAGCCGCCATGCGATGCCAGCTGTCACCACCGGAAGCCAGCAAGAGACAGTTTTGAAAGTGGGCAAGTACAGGAGGGAAGACAGTGGATCATACTCTGCTTAAAGCAGAATGGCTGGAAAGAAAGTGCCAAGGAGACAGAGCAGGGCAGGCATGCTGGACGGATTCTACTCACTAGAGGTCATCTGACTGCAACATCAAAAAGAGCCAGCTTGGTATAGAGGTTAAGATGTTGACCTGGGAATCAGGAAATTCCAAGTTCTAGTCTAGTTCTAGTCCCCCCACCAGACTTTTCTATAATAATTAAGCATATCAGCACAACTCAAAATCAATGTTTCACTTTTTTCATAAAGCATATATGTTGCCAGCATATATAACAGCAAAGTTCCGGATCTTTCTTCCAATTTTTCAAGTCCATTAAGCTTAAAAAAGAAGTATCTTGTTTGATTTTTATATTCACTTTAAGAACCTTCTGAATTAAAATATGAATCTTAACGCAGTATATATATTTTTTGTTTTATCACAGGTCCACCAAAGATAGTAAAAGTTTCTTCTTTATATTTACATTTCTAATATTGCATTTGCAATACCTTTATACATCTCTGACAATTTGTCTTTTGCTAAATACAAACAACACATCACTTTAGAAAAAAATCTTTTAAATTATAATTTAATGTAAATTTTAAACCCTTCATCCACATGTTTTCCCAATTTCAAGCATTATATTATACCCAAACGGCCTTGCCCATTCAATCATGCAGTACTTCAGATATTAATTCTCTAAATTGAGTTTCAATTACAGTTTATAAATCTTGGCAATAACGTGTTCATTATTACCACACAGTACAATTCCAAATTCATTTTTTACAAAGTCAAACCCCTAACTTTTAAAAACTAATTTAAACTTTTCTTTCAGTTGTAGACCAGTGACAAAAACATCCATTTGACTCCAACTCTTTTTTGACGTGAGGGTAGATACACCTTGATTAAAAAGTATTATTTGACCATAGGTCCAACAGGCTAGTCTTACCTTCATTTGGCAAGAGTGGAAATACTCTGATCCTGCAAATATCTCTGAAATGGTTCTTGGCAAAAGTGCCATGGCTTGTTGCCTGCTTGATCTAAAAAAGTTACTTTAATGCCAATACAGCTAAGCGCACATTTATATCTCATGTACCAGTTGGACATGCTTGGACTTCCAAATGCTAAGAGGTCCTGAAGGCCTTTTACATCTTATTACACCAAGGCCTTCAGGACCTCTAAGCATTTGGAAGTCTATCAGCACTATCAGTTCCAGACACTGTATTTAACAATAACAATAACAATGTTGGAAGGGAACTTGGAGGTCATCTAGTCCAATCCCCTGCTCAGGCAGGAAACCCTATACCATTTCAGACAAATGGCTGTCCAGTCTCTTCTTAAAAACTTCCAGTGTTGGAGAATTCACAACTTCTGGAAGCAGGTTGTTCCACTGATTAATTGTTCTGTCAGGAAATTTTTCCTTAGTTCTAGGTTGCTTCTCTCTTTGATTACTTTCCAACCTTTGCTTCTTGTCCTTGCCTTCAGGTGCTTTGGAGAATAGCTTGACTCCCTCTTCTTTGTGGTAACCCCTGAGATATTAGAACACTGCTATCATGTCACCCCTAGTCCTTGTCTTTATTAAACTAGACATACCCAATTCCAGCTATCGTTCTTTATATGTTTTAGACTCCAGTTCCCTGATCATCTTTGTTGCTCTTCTTTGTACTCTTTCTAGAGTCTCAACATCTTTTTTACATTGTGGTGACCAAAACTGGATGCAGTATTCCAAGTGTGGTTTTACCGAGACCTTCTAAAGTGGTATTAACACTTCATGGGATCTTGATTCTATCTCTTTTTTAATGCAGCCTAGCACTGTGTTGGCTTTTTTGGCAGCTGCAGCTCATATGTAACTGATTGTCCACTAGAACTCCAAGATCCCTCTCACAGTTACTGCTGTTGAGCCAGGTACCACCTATACTATATCTGTGCATTTGGTTTTTCTTGCCTAAATGTAGAACCTTACTTTTTTCACCATTGAAACCTTACTTTTTTCACCATTTCGCTCAGTTACTTAGAACACTATTGTCCAAAATGATCAGATCAATTAAATTCAGCAGTTACTTCAGACTATACGACATAGATTTTCATCAAAGACAACACAGGTTTTGTGTGTTGATTTTGTTCCAAAATTAAATATTCCACTCTCCTACTGTTCAATGGATCCTATTTTCATGCAGAAGTTTTGTAATGGTAGAGTCATTCACATTGACTTTAGCCAGATGAGGGAAGCCACAACTTCTTGGATCTTGTTCTATTCTGTGTTTGTGTGATTTCTGTGGTCAGCAGTCTTGGAAGGATTCCGACAGATTGGATTGGCTACCTATGGGAAGAATTATTATTGTCCCTAATCTTCTCCATCTCAAGACTGATAATCCCAAATGAATTGAGTCATCAGAGATTCCTCTTTAGTTGGCTATGACCAGCCTGTAGAATCTGTGAGATGAGCACTTCATTACGAAGAAAAAGAGCTAAAGTTTGTGAGATTTATCTAGGACAGAGCTGGCTCTAGTCAGTACTCAAACAATTTGGCCATGATTATCCCTTTAATGGACTTTATAGCAGTAGGGGGCAATTAATTTTTTACATACTGAGATATCACATGTTTGATGACTTTGTTCACCAAATAAATGAAGCAAATTCTAAGAACTTGTTGTTCTTAGACTTACTTTGTATTAGAAAGATCTCCAATAATCTCTGATAATATTAATTGGCAGAATATGCAATACTTTAGAAAATCTGAAAGGAGCAAGTACGTGATAGAAACATAGTTCAGGGATTCCAATGTTTGGGATATAAGCAGGGTTTTTTTTGTCATAGAACGCCCAGAACGGAGTTCCGGCACCTTTTTTGGATGGAACCTTGTAGGGTAGGCAAGGCGGGTTGTATGATGTGTGTGAGTTCCGGCACCTTTTTTTTTTTTTTTTTTTACAAAAAAAGCACTGGATATAAGTATACTAGGCTACATACTATATAGAAAAGAAAGAGTAGAAAAGAGGGAAGGTGAAGTTGCCAATTATGTCAAGGAGGGCAAAGAGGCAACACTAATTTAGAAAATACATGATCTACTTGTATTGTATTGTATTTGGTTTACTTTTCTTGTATTGTATTGTACTAGTATTGTACATGGTTTGCTTACAAACTAAAAAGAGATCAGTATTCAGAACTGATATCATGAACAGCCCCCTAGGCCATTCTGACAATTATGATAGCATTCTGATTAAGCAGATAACCCAGATGGCAATGAAGGGAGAGGTTGTAATCATGGGTGACTTCAACATGTCCAACATTAAGTGGAATCTTTCAACTGTACTTACAAGCAGGAGCAGGGATACGTAAGAGGCATTAAAGATGCCTGTCTAAAATAGTTAATAAAATGCCCAACAAGAGGAGCCCATATTCTAGACTTAGTTTTTACAAATGGATATCGGATACCAGAAGTTGAGGTGAGGGAAAACTTAGGTTCCAGTGATCACCAATGCCTTTAGATTGATGTTAAACCTAAAATTGATATAACACACACTGAAACTAAAGTTTTAGCCTTAAAAAGCCAACAATTTTTACCAAAATGGGGGAGTATCTAAAACATAACTTAAAGAGTGGCATGCAGTGACAGGAATCAGTGCTCAGTAGCCATTTTGGAAAAAACTCGTCTTTATGTGAGGCACGTTAGTAAAAGCTAAAGAAATACAAGCCCACTTTGGTTCACAGCTGATATATATATAGAATAGTAAAGGGGGGAAAATCAGCATATAGCAAATATAAGAATAGTGGCAATGTAGATGGTAGAGAGGTGTATATAAACCTACAGAAGAAAGACAAAGAAGGTATTAGTGCTGCTAAAGCACAGAAAGAGATGAATTGGCTAAGAGGATAAAACCTTTTTTGAGATACATTAGCGACAGGAGGAGAAAAAAATGTACATGAGGGGTCCTTGATGCATTCTGAGTTTGGTGGTTTTCTTGCAGATGTTTCATTACTCAAACTAAGGAACATCATCAGTGCTAGTAAGGAGTGCAGATTGCTGTCCGTTTATGTTTTAGTGGCTTGCCCTATGAGTGTTGGTTGGGGTGCTCTTAGAGATTCTTTGGTTGGTTGGGTTGTTTGCTGTTGGCTTCATTGGCAGTTTCTTAATTGGGGTATTATTTATTTGATTTTGGTCTAATGTTAATTTTGGAGTTGATCTATGCTGATCTGGGTGCTGATTGCTGGTGGGGTTGTGCAATCACCCCCAAAAAAATTTTTTTAAGTGCAATCACCCAAATTTTTTAAAAAATGCAAACAATTCTTATGTTAAGGGAGACCTGATTATAGAAACCATCTAAACAAATTCTTTTGTTCAGTCTTCTAAGCAGTAGATGACAGTAACAAAAATAGGATGGAAGTTCATACTAGTCCTAGCAGTGCAGGTTCTTTTTGGGGGGTTTTAGAGTTAGTGTGTGAGCTAGCCCACTTAAATCCTAATAAAGTAAAGGGTCTGGATGGTATTTATTCCAGAGTTCTGAGGGAACTTCTAGGTGTGTTCTCTGGATCATTAACTGATCTGTTTAACCAGTTTAACAGATGATGTTCCCCAGGACTGGTGAACATGTAATATTGTACCCATTCACAAGAAGGGAGTAGGGAAGAAGAGGGAAACTATAGGCCAGTGAACTTAACATCTACAGTAGTGAAATTAATGGAATCACTCATGAAAAAAATGATTAATGAACATTTAAAAATGCACAACTTGATAGATCCAAACCAGCATGGCTTTATTGAGGGTGGAAAATGTCAAACTAATTTGATTAACTTTTTTTAACAATATCACAAATATTTTGGATGAAAGTGGGCATAGCCTATCTGTATTTTAGCAAAGCATTTGATACAGTTTCACATAATGAACTGATTTAAAAAAAAACTTGTAGGGGCTAGGACTTAACCACTGAGTGGTTCAATGGCTAGAAAGTTGGCTCAGGGACAGATCCCAGTGTGTGATTGTTAATGTGATATTAATGGGGCACTATCTGAACAGAGACCAGTCGCAACCAGGGTACCACAAGGCTCATTCCTAGATCCTATTCTGTTCAATGTGATATAACAGAAGGATTGCTAGGTAAGATTTGTCTTTTTGCTGATGACAAAAAAGGTGTGCAATAAGAGTTGATGTTCCTGGGGGCATTCATAGCCTAGGTTCCTCAGCCACTTTTGGAATTTGTCAGACATGAACTCTGTTCCCCTATCTGTTTGCAACTGGCATACTTTATGGCCATATCTTTGCTCTACATTGCCTGAACTGTTGTAGGATATCTGTTTTGCTCTTTAATAAATAGCAAAACCCATATGTGGTGTAGTCATCTACTAAGACTAGTACGTACCTAGTTCCTCCTAGAGAGGGTGCCATATGACCA